GGAACAACTGAAGTTAAAAAGAATTGATGGGCAAGAGGTAGAGGAGATGGAACACAACCCTTCCCCTCCCTCCCCGCCCCCCCCTCCACCGCCGCAGCAACATCTCCTTTTGTGGTGGTTCTGGTTTTCTTTACAGTTCTTATTTTGCAGTGTGGGTGTTTCACACACAACATCTGAAAAGTCGCAGGGCCTTTTGCTCCTAACAAAAGTGAATAAGAAGTGTGTGTGTGTGTATGTGTGTGTGTGTGTGTGTGCGCGCGCACGCGCGTGCATTGTTAGGAGGGCAGGGATGGTCACGGAGGTTCTGCCCCAAGGCTGCAACTTACAAATGACATGTCCCAGCCCTGGTCTTTGACCTTGACTTAAATGAGCTCAGTTGGAAAAAAAAACCAGTCCTTTCTTCATTCTGCTCACCAAGCTGGACCCCCCGGATTCCTGGTGGCTTTCTTTACTCTGAAGCCTTCTCACTCAGCTCCAATCTGCGGGGGCAAACTGCATGCAGGGACTGAGACTCCCTTTCCCCGGGCAATGTTAGTGTTAGACTGACAGGCTGGCTCCATCCGGGTCTGCATGTGAAATCAGGGCCGCAGCCTGCAACTACTCCCACTCTATCAGCAGCCAGAAGGAAGGAAAACAAAGATAAGGGGGGGATGGAAACCAGGAGGGGACCCACGAGGAGGCGGGGGAGGGCTGAGGAAAGACAGGAGATGAGGGAACAAAGACCCGAGGTGAAGGGTGAAGGCGGTGGGGAAAGGCAGGAGGGACAGGAGGGACCAGGTGTCCAGAAAGAAAGGAAGGGCCATATAGAGGAGCCGTGGTGGAGGAGAGAGGATGGAGGAACGGGGAAAGGGGAAGACAAGGAAGCTGGAGTGGAGCTTTCAAGTCTGGGCTAAAGCCGGGAAACTGCACAGGCAGGAGAAGGAGGCTGTGCCAGGCAAACAGGAAAACAGAGGGAGAGGAAGTCTAGTAATTGGAGAAAACCTGACCAAGGGCCTGAAAGGAGGGGGGAAACCACTGCGATGGGGACATTGCAGAAAACGAGGTAGGAGACAGTGGCAAGGAAGCTTTGAAGCAGGAGGGTGGAAGCAAGGGAGGCAGAGAGCAGAGCAGCGAGGACTTGCAACAAGAGAAAACACCGCACAAGTGAGAGTGAGGGAACAGGGAAGGAACCATTAAAAGAATGCTTACCTTATAGTCGTAAAAATTGGAATGTGTGTGTTTTGGCCTGCGGCCATTGTCTGGGAAACACAGCGTGGCTTTTAAGCAAACTGTGGAGTGGTTGGTCCACACGTCAGGAGCTTGCCGTGGTGTGCTGCTTGGAAAGGCATCTTCTCTGAGCGGCCCACTTGGTGGCTGGCAGCCTGCTGTTGGGGACATCAGATGGGACCTGCTGTCTGTACCCAGGGTCATTTCTGCTCGGTTTATGGTGCTTTAAGTTATCTTCCAGGGCAGCTGCTTCCCTCTGGGGGCTAAGAGTTGAGATGAGTATCACGCCAGGGACCTGCTTGCTGTCTCCTGAATCAGTGGTTCCTTTGAGGATGTTTCTTGGTGGGACCGGCTCTGGGAGGGCAAGAGGGGGCGACAGGTTAAAGGCAATGCGGGATAAATGTTAAGGGAAGGGCCCCTGGACTCTGACACCCAGAATTCGGCTCCTAGTTTTCCCGGTTTACTGTATAAACCAGCATATATGTTTTAGTCTCTCTGAGCCTCAGCTACTCATCTGTACAATTGGGCTCATAGTCACACCGATCTCATAGGGTTCTGATGACACCTGAAGGAGATGAACTGTGCAGTGGGCAGAGCGGCAAGCTCATATTAATGCTCACTGACTGCTAGCTGTTCTTCTTTGTATTATGATTCAAGACCAGATAATGTGCTGTGTGTGTGTGTGTGTGTGTGTGTGTGTGTGTTTTGGGGAATCAGTCCTCGAATGCAGAGTAAGGGCCTTAGATTTGAAGGTGTTTTAGCAAGGGAATGATTGTTTGTGAGGAAAGATCCAGCAGTGACATGTGTGCTGCTCTGGGGAGTAGGTGAGACCATTTTGGTGACCAAAGCATGCATGAGATAGTAAGAAACTGGGCTAGGGATTGGGGGAGCTGAAAAAAATGTAAAGGGTATTTTGAGAGGCAACCCAAACCTAAAAATCTTTATGATGGACAGGTGGTGGGAAAGGGACATTTTAAACATGACTCCAAGGTTTGTGGGCCTACAACAAGGTCAGGTCAGAGGGAGTTCTCAAGCTGAGAATGATTTATGTTTTTTTAAAAGATTGTAAAAAACAAAAATGAAAACAAAGAAGAACATGTGACCAAGACCATATGTAGTCTGCAAAGCCCAAAATATTTACTATCTGGCCCTTTATAGAGTTACCCCACCTCTGGCCTGCCTAGGGTATCAGAAGAAGACTCTGCTCCCAAATTGGGAAGCCTGGAGGGGTTTTAGACAGAGTGCAATATTCCCAGAAAATTAGAGCTTTGGGACTAAAGCATTGAAACCCACAAGAAATACTAGCTTTTGCTGTTATTGAGAACATAGAGGTCCAGAGATGGAAATGAACATGGCATATGCTGAAACAACAGTAAGATAGATGGTGGATTGGTTTGGTAAGTAACAGTAAACAAATATCACTTGTAATTATTACCATCACTATTACAACTCTATTGCTGTCATTGAAACTTGGGGTCTGGTCTTGGGACCCCGATGTTCTCCTTAAAGCATGAGGTTTGCTAAGCTCCCTTCCAACTCTTTTTTATTTTTTGTCTTTTTCCCCCTCCTTCCTCATTTCCCTTCCTCCCTTCCCTCTATGCGGAACATACTTAATTCTCTTTGGCATTTCTGACAGCAGGGTCATTTCTTCCCTATCCTCTTTAAAAATCCCGATCATGTAAGAACTGGTTCTATTTTTCCCTTCCCCATTCCCAGTGATCTCTCTTCCTTTTGCAGCCCCTCCCCCTCCAGGCGCTTCCAACAAAAGAGTCAGGTCATTTTTCATGCGGTATCAGCCGAGTGTCAGCCTCCAAAGCGTTTGTCCTTGTTTCTCTGAGTGTCGGAAGTTCTCTGTCTTCCCACTAGGACTTTCTGAGAGCATGGAGAGGATCCCAGAATTTCTAATCCTTCTTGCTGCAACCGAGCCTCTTCCCACACTTTGTTTGAGAAAAAATGATTGGGGGAAAAAAAAAAAAACAGCGGAGGAGCAAGGCACGCAGCCCTGGCGGGCTCAGGCTGGGGTCTGTGCTGGTGGACAAGCTGAGCAGGGCCTGTTACTCACGGCTGCCTTGAGAGGCCAGTCAGGGGAGAAAGATTAGGGTCATCAAGATAAGGCAGAGAATATTCAAACTGGAAGCAAAAAGGGGCTGTTTTTCCAATAGTAAGTAATCAGGACACAGGAGGATGTAATTTGCAGATTAGGAAAGTGAACAAAGAACATAAAATTAACTTTATAGCAGAGAGGAGCACAGTCTGTTTGAAGAAATAAACCTCCATAAAGCATTATTGTTGATAAAATCAGACTGTTGATTTAAACTAAATAGGAAATATGACCAAATCAGGGAGAGGATGGGAGCTCAGGGGAAGTTCAAGTTGAAACTTTAGGCAGCGATGGAGGGCTGGGATGGAGGGGCCTGATGGGGTGTCCCAGCGCTGGGGGAGAGATGTAGGACCAAAGCAAGGATACCTGTGCTAAGGGCATCGATAAGAGGGATGTGCCTTACCAGGATGCCTAGGCCACCTTCACTTAGGGATTGTCTTTATTTGAAAAGTGGCATTGATTTCCAAGAATTGGTAAATAACAAATATGTTCTTGAGCACATGCAGTCCCTTCCTTCCTCCCTCCTGTTTTTAATTCTCAAATACCCACAAAAGCTCATCTAAAACACCAGCAACTCCCTGTTGGAACACTAGTAGTGACCTTCGTACCAAAGCAGAAGAGTCCCAAAGCAATGCCTTTGATCCTGAGGTGATTAAAACAGGGCTTCTGTCCCCTTTTATCAGAGACAAGCTGATGAGACTAGGATAACACTCCTGCAGTGGGTAGTGAGAAATCCAGCTCTGTGCTGGGAACTGCCCTTTATTTCCCCATGCCAAGACTTCTTGGCCCCACATTGCCTAGCATGGGAGACAGATTTATTGTTTTTGCTGTCTTTGACCTGCTGAGGCAGGACTCTTCCCAAGACAGGTTCAGAGAAGCATCCCTGTTTAGTAGTGTACTCAGAAGTCTCCATCCCTCCCCCCCAACTCCCTGGTCCATTTTTCTCCCTTTTCTATCTTGCTCTGAGCCCTGGAAACTGCATCTTGGAAACCCCTCATCTTCTGGCTTCTTGTAGAGTACAGCTTATGGGAGGCCCCAGTAAGACATGAGTAGGCTAGAAAAGATAGAGAGAGGGCAGAGCCTTATGGCCTAGATTCCCTCCCTGCCAGGCTGCAGGCTGCCAGTGCCTTTCTCTACCAAAGGTCAGAGTCAGTTCAGGGCACTGGCCTTGTCCATTCAGGCACAGGGGTATTCACGGCCCCCTTATAGCTGCTACACTTGGATTGCTTCATCATCCTTTGTTGGCTTCCTTTAAATATGTCCTTGCATTTAACAGTTCCTTCATTAAGCTCTCTTCTAATGCCCCCATTTGAGTGTGCCATTCTTGTAGGACCTTGGAGGTTACAAGTAATGCAAGCTCCTACTTGGAAATCAGAAGGCCTGGGCTACTGCTGAGAACCTATTACAAGTTGGTCATGTGACCTGAGCAAGTTGCTTCTACTTGTTGGCCTTAGTTTCTTCATCTGTGAAATGGAGATGATGGTGAGACCATCTTTCAGTTACAGCATGCTATAATTCTGTTTCCACTAGGGGTGTAGTGGGCAGGGTTTGGAGGAAAATAAACATAATTTTGAATCCTGGTTTTTATACTTTCTAAATGTGTGGCCTTGGCCAAGTCTCTTGATTGCTTTGAATCTTGGTTCACATCTTCAGTAAAACATGGAAGGTAGCCCTTTCCTTGAAGTTGGGGGGGGTGCTCCCTTTGGCAGCACATATACTAAAATTGGAATGATACAGAAGAGATTAGCATGGGCCATGTGCAAAGATGACATGCAAATTGAGGGGGAGGATTAAATAATATTGCGCGTTTGAAAGCAGCTAGAACAGCTCTCATTACACGGGAGGCATTCAATCCATGTTAGAACCTCTCACTTCTTTCCTGGCTTTCTTGAAGGGAAAATGCCTGGGCATGAGGGGAAAGAAGTTTGTTGGCTCTGGAGGTTTCCATTCTTTCCATATCTAATTCTGTTTATTTATATTTGCTTACATCTTAGCTCATAGACTCCAATTCATTTATTCCTTTCAATCTGTCTGTCCTTGAAGATTTTTCCCTGGAGCTATTCCTTCAAAAGGAGGGCAGGTCTGTGGTTAGCTGGAGGGAGGGAACCAGAAGGAGCAGGTGGCAGATACTTTGCCCACTCAGCTACCCAGCCTTCTGACCAGGACAAGGATTTTTTTCATAGCTCAGAGTTCTCTGGGACAGCTGACACATACCGGGGACCTTACCTTTCTTCTTTATGCAGGAGTCACCATCATAAGCGAAGGATTGGGCCTCTAGTTTTTCATGGTAATCATTCATACCTAGATTTTAGGCCAAAAAGAGCTCTTGCTCAACCCAATCCATAGTCCTGTTCACCCCCAAACTTGCCATAAGTGATTTTGTAAAGACTTTTTAAAAAAGTATATGGAGGGGCGCCTGGGTGGCTCAGTCGTTGGGCATCTGCCTTCTGCTCAGGTCATGATCCCAGGGTCCTGGGATCGAGCCCTACATCGGGCTCCCTGCTCAGTGGGAAGACTGTTTCTCCCTCTCCCTCTCCCGCTCCCTCTGTTTGTGTTCCCTCTCTCACTGTGTCTCTCTCTGTCAGATAAATAAGTAAAATCTTAAAAAAAAGAAAAAAGTATATGGAATGGGACTCTTGAAATTTTTGCTGGAAGTTTCAGTATTTAAGTGCATGATCTGACACAGATGGGTCTAGATGTGGACAAAGCTGTGAGTGAAAGAAACTTTATTAGTAGCTTCTTCCATTTACTCTCAGTGTCCTCTTTTTTCATTTTAGCATTTCAGTCTCCAAGTACTCAACATCTGTAACTGCCTGTAGTTGACCAGAGACCCCTTGCAGTCAATAGACCCCCATAATTCTATCCCTATTGAATATATAAACTTATCTGTCTTATGTCTGTCAGTACACACTGAATACTCTCATATGTATGATAACTTGATCCGTTCTTCTACCTATCCATCCATTCATCCATCCACCTACCTTACCAGTCAATTGGCAAATACTGATTGGAGATGCACAAAATATGATGGTAGACTTTCTTTAATAATTTTAAGAAGTGTGAGTCACAGTTCCAGACTTAAGAAATTTAGAGTGTATTGCAGGCCCACAACAAGTAAAAAAGATAAAAAGTTCTCTCATAATACTAGTGCACGCAAGGGCTAAGTGTCCAAGAGTGATAATAGACATTGTTGAGACTCAAAGAAGCAGCACAATGGGGCAGAGTAATAAGGACTGACTTTAGAGAAGTTATGGGAATAAAGCCAGGCCTTGAAGGATGAGTAGAGTTTATGTGAATAGAAAGAAAGGCTAAAGCTACCAGAGAAGACAGGGGAAATGGGAAAATTTAGGAGATAGAATTCTAAAAGTAGACCTGTTTGGCTGTAGTAGAGCATTTGAGGAAGTACCTGTGGTAAGATTGGAAATGTTGGTTGAGACTGATTTCTGGAAAAGAGGCTGGAATGTGAAGCTGGGGAGCATAAGCATTTCCTACAGGTAATAAAGATCTCCAAAACATTTTTCTAGCCAGGAAGAGGCATCTAGTAGAAGTCTGCAGATTGACTTTGAGTATGGAGTGTTCGCATTATCTATTGACTCACTGATTCACTGATTTCAGGCAACACGAGTTTAATGAGCTCTCCTAAATGCTTAATTCAATGATCTTAGCTGGACACTAGTTATGTCCTAGTTCCTTCAGAAATCAGAGCCCTTGCTTTGGGGAGAGCTTCTTAATTCATCATGACCAAATAGTTAACCCAGAGAGAAAGAATACAAATAACCACTACAGTTAATTTCTTTTTTTTTAAAAAAAAAAATATTTTTATTGTAAAATTAAAAACAGACACAGAAAACCAAACCAAACAAATGTGTGGCTTAGTGAATTATTATACAGTGAACACCATTATAACTACCACCAAAATCAAGAAATAGATTTCTATTTCTAATAGATATAGCCAGCCCTATATCCCCTCCACATGCCTCATCCTAACACAATCCCTTTCTACCTCCTGAAGGTCACCATCGTGACCTTTATAATAACCACTTCTTTGCATTTATTTATGGTTTTATCACTCAACTGTGCACCCCTAAACCCCACAGTTTAGTCTTTCCCATATACTTTTTAACTTGATATGCTTTTTAGGTCTCTTTTAATCTGTGGTTTCCTCCCTCCACCTCTTTGTTTTCTTTATCTGGTGACAAATTTGGGTCTTTTAGCCCGTCAAGTTTCCTATAGTCAGATCTCCTGACTGCTCAGTCATGGTACAGTTCAATGTGTTCCTCTGTCTTCTGAATTTCCTGCAGATTGGGAGCTGAATCTAGAGGCTTGACCTGACACAGGTCTGATTCCTTTAACAAGGTTAAGGTGGTGTTATGTCTTGTGTCGGGCTTATGTTTTTCTTTAATATTAGTTGAAGCAGATGCTTCAGTGTCTACATCCATTAATTCATTGGGATTTGAAAAATAGTATTATTTTAATTCTATATTTCCTTTTAATTATCACCTGGGATAATTTTATCAAGAGACACTTCCCCTCATCTATTATTTTGTTACCCAGTACTACAATTCACATAGAATAGGTGGGATAAGGTTTGATTATTTCCTTTTTATACCCAGTTTTCAAGATGACAATTGGATCATTGTTTCCTCAGAAGGTGACCAATTATTATTTTTTAAATATATGTCATAAACTCTCGAATTTATTTACATTTATATTTGATGAGTTTCAATCGATCATAAAGCTCAGATCTTTGGCCTGTGGAAAACTCTTCAAGGTGCTTCCTGAGTTCTTCTGACATGACCCTAGTAGTTTTTGACAGTTTCCTTCTAACTGCATGTCAAGATGTACCGAACTCATCATAAACATTTCCTGCCTCAGACCTGGAATTAGCCATTTCTCCAAGAAATCCTAGTTTATTTCAATGGGATATGTCATTTGAAGATCAAATCTGAATGCTATTCGGTTGACTTTTGTTTTTAAGTCCTTTTAATGGAAAGAGCCGGAATAAACAAATACCCCATGAGTTCATACTGATATTTCTAATTCAAATTCATATTTACAGAGTGTTTACTTAACATCTTCTATTATCGAAGTAGTTCCTTTCTGTCACCAGAAAATCCTTTAAGGCATGGGGGATGGTAGAATTAGAATATCCCATAATTAGCATTTGCTTTTTTTGTACTTTACATATACAACTTTCTCAGAATAGTAATACTCATACTATGACTGACATTATTGTTACTGAAAGCAGATAAATTTTTTTTTTGCATATGCTGATCATCTCCCCATTTTTTTTTAGAATTGTAGTATATTTGCACTTTGAATCATATACTGGAGTCTCTACCTTTTAACCCTCATTTATTCTTTTATCTACAAGTAACTATATATCTAATATTCACCAGCAATACCTGTCTGAAGCTTGTTCTTTAGTAGACTCCTTAGAAAGGGCTCATGGGAATAATATTCTCTGAGTCTTAACACATTATTAGCAGTTTGTGAATTCCTGGATAAAAAATCCTTAGTTCACATTTTCTCTCCTTGAATATCTTAAATACATACTCTAATTTCTTCTGGCAAAAAGCTTTGCTGTCAAAAAAAAAAAAAGCTGAGGATAATTTAATTTGATTTCCCTTGTAAGTTATATGCTCCATTTTGCCTAGAATCTAATTTTTTCTGCTTTTCTTTTAATTACAATATTTTTTTTTCTGGAATATGTCTTGGTTTTGGTCATTCTGGGTCAATATTCTTAGGAACATGGTATGTTTTTTCAACATATATTTCAAATCATTTTTTATATTAGGAAAACTTTATTGTATGACAGTTTTTGGTATTTTCTTTGTTCTCTTACGATTTTCTGTTCCCTTTGTTACTTTTTCAGGGTCTCCTAATAGTTGTATATTGGATCCTCTTTGCCTATCTTCCAGTTAACTCTTTTTAATGTAAATTCCAATTGTTTGGATTTCATCATAATTCATAAGAGGTCTGGGGAAATGGGCTTATTTTTAAACTGATTTATGATTTGGGGGTAATGACTGACCATGGCCTTTTATATTATTTTCTTTGTATTTGGGGGGGGTGGCATTGGAGAATCTGAGCTGTAATCCCCAATGAACAGTGTGTATTTCCAGTAGAATAGTGGGCCAGTAGAAAAGACAGTTTGATGTCCTGAGACTTTCATTGTCACTCAGATCATATGGTCTAAAGATCTGAGATTGGTACTGGAGGTGAAACCTCTGACTTTTATGGAATTAGAAATCCTTTTTTTGCTTTTTCTAATAAAGCCCATTAGGCACAGAAAACTTCACTTTCTTCAAGCATATAAATTTAAGGAGATTTCATTTATTTGTTTCACTATAGTACCTAAAATAGCAATGATGAGAATGGCTCTTGAGGCAGGGGGAATACTATGAGCAAATGCATGGAAGCCAGTCTGAGCAAAAATGGTTTATGGCTTATTAGGATAATTTTTAATGGAGAAGGGAATAAAATAATTACCTTCAACATCCTGTGTTCTGTATGGTTCAAAGAAAAATCACTCATTATAAAGTGTGAAGTTGCTGACCTACATGACCTGGACTTTTGTTTCTGAATTACAAATTTAGTGGTTTAAACAATACAGATTTATTCTCTTATAGTTCTGGAGGTCAGAAGTCCAAAATGGGTTAAGATCAAGTGTTGGCAGGGTTCCTTCTGAGGCTAGGGGAGGAATTTGCTTCCTTGCCCTTTTTAGCTTTAGGTGGCCCTCAGTATTTCTTTGCTTGTTGCCCTTTCTTTCCATCATCAAACTGTACCACTCCAATCTCT